GGTCGCGGAGGGCAGGCGAATGCTGGTGACGACTTTAAGCCATACTCGTGTGTCTTCTGTCCAAAGAGATTTTCACGGCGGGACAACTTAACCCTTCACTTGCGTACTCATACTGGGGAGAAGCCGTATCAGTGCCCCCACTGTGATTATAGGACTACGATAAGTTCAAACGTGTACCGTCACATGCGAAACAAACACCAGCAAGAAATCGATGGAAAGCCGTATAGGCACGCAGCAGCATCAGCTATAGGCATATGGGGAGTTCAGACACCACCAAACTATTGACATAGGAAGAAGTTTTAATTTCAAAATTTATGTTCAGTTGATGAAACCCCAGATATGTTTAGTTACCTAAATTTGGTAGAGCATTGACAGTAAAATTGTTTTATTGAGACACATGGGTATTATATAGATTAAGTTTCTATTGCTATCTATCGCTGGCAGTTTCTATGTCTGTAATATGATCATAGCATCAGATACACAGTCTATTTTTGTGATCTGGAAGAGCTAATAATGGTTTGAAGAAAGTTGCAGATATATTGAATGGTTTGTGCACGAAAAATTGCAGAGGCATTGAATAGTTTATGGAGTAAAATGGTAGATACCATTGAAAATGAAGTTCAAGAACAGTAACAGGGCTATTTTTATTTATTTATTATTTTTTTTATTTATTTTTTTTCTAACACTTGATTTACATGTAATAGAATATAAGAGTGAGGAAAAGCTTGAATTCCAGGAGATTATGCAGATGTGAAAATGATTTCTCCAAATTGAATGTCAGGTTATTTACTCCTTACTTTGTTCTTCATGATCTTTACTCTCGCTAAGTGAGGTGTAGAAGGCAGCCTTGGTTATGTGATTCAGCTGGTTCAGCTTTTGCTACATATATTTTTTATTAATTATCAGACCTACAGTGTCTTCAGAAATGAAATGAAAGTGAATGGCCATGTTGGGCAGTTTTTCCTCAATTTATATGTCATGTAGTTGCCTTTGAGGTCATGGTTATTTTTATTTTATTTTATTTATTTTATTTTTTTATTTTTTGTAAGGAAAGAGATGTATGTATATGTGCTTCCATACATATATACAGGAACAGCAAACACATTAAGCCTGTCTATAATGTATAGCAAATTTTATGACTTGATTGGTGCAGCATTAAAAGACTTAGTCTTGAACGCAACTTTATTATTTGTTCCCTGAGTGCGGTGAAAATTATGTTACTAATTGAACGAGGTCATGTTAATGAAGACTTTTTTTCTTTCTTTCTTTCCCTTCTTCTCTCCACTTCTTTCCATCCTTATCCTGCATTCTCAAAGATTTTACTTTGTTACTGTAGCAAAATGTAATTATATTTTAGATTAAAAAGGATGGTGTCAAAATAAATATATGAATACAGTGTATGAAATGTATTCTTTATGTAGTTTATAGTGATGAAATACAGTTTTGTATTAAACAAGTGTACAGTATAATGTATAACATTTGCCATATCTTGTAAAATATAGAAAGGAAATTATATATTTTCATTTGTAAATAAATTTCAAAGGGGAATTGTAGTGTTGTCCATATATGGAGAATTTTGGTCTTCAGGTGAAATGAGAATTGAGAAATGTCTTGCTATTGTCTTGCTACTTTATTTATTATAGATAGAGAATAATGTGTATTAGATTTTGAATTAAATTAAACAAGAATTAAGTGTAAGGTAGAACCTAAGGGAGAGAGGGATGCAGATAGGAATGAAAATCAGTCTTGGATGTGGGTTTGCATATTTATTGCGTGCTTGTGTGCGTGTGTATACGTGTGTGCGTGTGTTTGTGTGTACTTGGTGGGGTTTGGGAAGGATGAATGCCTCTTTGGTTTCTCTTTTCCATTTTAATTTTTCAGTTAATTACTTATGATTTAGCAGTAATTCCCATTAAAGCAGAGATATACAGGTACACACACCGAGTCCATATTTTTATGATGACGTAATTGTCTTAAGTGTTTGATTTTTGTGATGTGAGCTTATTACTCTATCAGTATCAAGGAGATTTGCTTGTCCAGTTTTTAGGAATAGATCGAGTGAAAAAATACAGATTTCACGGCCCTTTCTTTTTTTAATATTCGGGTATATATTTTTTAGGATCTTGGTGCTTGGTGTCAGTGAGTAGTAATAAAAAGAAAATAAATAAATAAATAAAAAATGATATCCTTTGGTATCATGACAAAAATTGGTTTATTTGCAAGTGATTACACTAGCACCATATATCCCCCCCCCCCCCCTCCTCAAAAAAATGATAATAATTTGGAGAATTTTCCTCTTAGTACTTTGCATTGAAGCGAGCGAGGGTGTGAGTTTGCGTGTGTCCTTGTGTGTATATTGCAAATACAGACAACTACGTGATTTTTGTAATAACTGCAATATTTGAGTGGATGCAAGACAATTTTTAAAAATTGATTTTGTTAGTTGCCAATTATATTTCTTATTAAAATGTATCTTCCAAGAGTAAGCATTATGAAATGCCATTTTAATTTACCTTCTTTTTTTTAAGTAATAAAATGGTGGAAAAGTTTCATAGTAAAGATGATATTTAAGAAATAAAGATCCACTGTGTTTACATCACTGTGTTTGTTAATTTCTGAAATGTTTTGATATTTCTGAATACATATATCATTTGAGTTTGTTTCTAAATATGTCAAAGACCCATTGATTTTGTTAACTTCCAATTGCCAATGTATGTATGTTAATAATAAATTACACATCTGGTGCTTGCTTCTTGTTTATAGATATACTTATTAGTGCTACCATATTTAGTCTCAGAAATGCAAATCATAAAAGATTGAATGGTGATTAATACAGGAAAATCTAGAGCTGCAGGTGTGCACACACTCAAAATGAGCTGACAGATAAACACATGCATTCTCTCATATGCCTGTGCAATTAGGCACACATGCCCAGTCACACACTCATATACACACAAACATTCCTGACAACATAATGGTTTTGAGCAAAGATTACATTACAACAGTGTATGGAAATGATACATTAGTTTGTTTGAAGGTGATATGGTATAAGACCCATGGCCTTTCGCCACCCATATGGGACCAATCTTCCCTGGCTCTGGTTGCAGTTAACAGGAATGTAGTGATAAGTAAGCCCAAACCACCATTCCCTGCTCATAAGAGGGATGGTAATGAACGTGAGGTGTGTGTTACCTTTTAGCTAGCCAGACACAAGATATGATGAATTACTTATGTGTGTTTGCAGTTTTACAAAGACACATAACAGTATCATAAAGAAATATTGGAATATGGAGAAGGTTAAGAAACTTGAAGTACTGGAAATAGAAAAGAATAAAAGAAAATAGTCATACAAAGTTGCTTTTGATGAATGAATTTTAAAAAAAGACACCTTGCTCTCCCAAAATATGAAATAAAGATATAAAGAGGATGGGAAGTAGTTAGGCAGAAAAGCAGTAGGTATGATAAAATGTAACACACAGTATTGAGGGCCATGTTAAGATTTTATTATTATTTTTTTTTTTATGATATTTAACCACAAAGATATGTGTCACATGCATAGCTTCAAATATGGGTCCAGTATATGTATCTCTGACTAATATAATACAATAAAAAAAAAATGAAAAGTTGAAAAAGATTACTTAAAAACAATTGTTGAGAACTCTGTAGGGAAATATACCCTTTGGTAATGTACAGTGTATATATTTTTTTCTTATCATTCACATTTTTTTTACCTTTCCATCTTCCTGCATACCTCCATCACCCACTTTCTTACTCATATACATCTATTCCCTCACCTCTCACTTCCTTACAGCTGTATTCATACAAAGAAAAGCTTTTTTTTCCCCTAAGACCATGTAATGTTATTAATTTCCAAGTAGATATTGTAGTTTAGTTGCCGCAGCCCGAGAACTAGTTAGCGAGCCTAGTAGGTGAAGTCTCGTTGCCTGTTGTTGAATGGAGGTGTATTTCTGTGATCGTTGCATGACTTCATCTTGGACTTGAATTGGGACAGTTTTGTTTGTTTTCATGTAGTTGCAAGGAACTTTTTTTTATGAAGATGAGATTTTATTATCATTATTATTATTTTTTAAATTCTGCTCAGACTGTGATTATAGTTGTGTTGCTTAAGGGGTTAGAGGTGAAAGGAAGCTATGAGGCATATTGTATCGTCTTCCAGCGTTGATGAATATAGTGCATTTTTTACAAATTTGCAATATGTTATCATGACTTTAAATGTCTCCTGTAAACTCTTGGGGATAATCTTGTATTGTATTCTTTGTCTTTTGCTTATATGCCCCTTTGTACCTGCATTTTTTCATACTTATCTTATTTCAGCAATATACAAAAAACAAAAACATCCTCATACATCATCCCAAAACACATTTTTCTCTCTCTCTCTCTCTCTCTCGCTCGCTCTCTCTCTCTCTCTCTCTCTCTCTCTCTCTCTCTCTCTCTCTCTCTCTCTCTCTCTCTCTCTCTCTCTCTCTCTCTCTCTCTCTCTCTCTCTTCCCTATTCTGTTATATACTTTTCATATCTCTTCTGTATTCTGTTCTCATATATGTATTTTCATCTTCAGAAATTGTACATGTATCAGCTCTTTACATAAGATTAAAAAGAAAACAGCAAGACAGTAGACAGATGTGGAATAGATGTGTTATCAGACACATCGATTTACATGGAAATATAGTACTGTGCAGGGATCTTTTGTTACTCTCCATCTCTTTCTTCCTTTGCATCCTTGGCATTTCCTCTCTTCTTCCTTTGTAGAACTCTCTTGATAGAAACCTCTTGATAGGAGAACCTCAAGATAAGCATCATGTGGACCCGTGTACATATTATGAAGATTGATGGTTAAAGCTGGTGTTCGTGTTTTAGGGTGGTGGAAGCAAGTCGGCAGTGTGGGCGAGAGCCTTGTCTGGTCAGTCCCTCGGAGCAAGCCACCAGTGCACCTTCTGCCCAAAACGATTCTTTCTGCGGTCTGACTTGACGAGGCACCTGC